AAAAAAAAGTAGCTTCCATGTCCTGGCTATTGTAAATAGAGCTGCAGTGAACATTATGGTACATGACTCTTTGAATTATGGTTTTCTCAGAGTATATGCCCAGTAGTCGGATTGCTGGGTCTTGTGGTAGTTCTATTATTAGTTTTTTAAGGAACCTCCATACTGTTCTCCATAGTGGCTGTATCAATTTACATTCCCACCAACAGTGAAAGAGGGTTCCCTTTTCTCCACACCCTCTCCAGCGTTTATTGTTTGCAGATTTTTTGATGATGGCCATTCTGACTGGTGTGAGGTGATACCTCATTGTAGTTTTGATTTGCATTTCTCTAATGATTAGTGATGTTGAGCATCCTTTCATGTGTTTGTTTGCAATCTGTATATCTTCTTGGGAGAAATGTCTATTTAGGTCTGCCCATTTTTGGATTGGGTTGTTTGGTTTTTTGATATTGAGCTGCATGAGCTGCTTGTAAATTTTGGAGAGTAATCCTTTGTCAGTTGCTTCATTTGCAAATATTTTCTCCCATTCTGAGGGTTGTCTTTCCATCTTGTTTATGGTTTCCTTTGCTGTGCAAAAGCTTTTAAGTTTCATTAGGTCTCATTTGTTTATTTTTGTTCTTATTTCCATTTCTCTAGGAGGTGGGTCAAAAAGGATCTTGCTGTGATTTATGTCAAAGAGTGTGTGCCTATGTTTTCCTCTAAAAATTTTATAATGTCTGGCCTTACATTTAGGTCTTTAATCCATTTTGAGTTTATTTTTGTGTGTGGTGTTAGGGAGTGATCTAATTTCATTCTTTTACATGTAGCTGTCCAGTTTTCTCAGCACCACTTATTGAAAAGGCTGTCTTTTCTCCATTGTATAGTCTTGCCTCCTTTATCAAAGATAAGGTGACTATATGTGTGTTGATTTATCTCTGGGCTTTCTATCCTGTTCCATTGATCTATATTTCTATTCCAGGACCATACTGTCTTGATTACTGTAGCTTTGTAGTATAGTCTGAATTCCAGGATTCCTCCAGCTCCGTTTTTCTTTCTCAAGATTGCTTTGGCTATTCGGGGTCTCTTGTGTTTCCATACAAATTGTGAAATTTTTTGTTCTAGTTCTGTGAAAAATGCTATTGGTAGTTTGATAGGGATTGCATTGAATCTGTAGATTGCTTTGGGTAGTATAGTCATTTTCACAATGTTGATTCTTCCAATCCAGGAACATGGTATATCTCTCCATCTGTTTCTATCATCTTTAATTTCTTTCATCAGTGTCTTATAGTTTCTGCATACAGGTGTTTTTTCTCCTTAGGTAGGTTTATTCCTAGGTATTTTATTCTTTTTGTTGCAGTGGTAAATGGGAGTGTTTCCTTAATTTCTCTTTCTGATTTTTTGTTGTTGGTGTATAGGAATGCCAGAGATTTCTGTGCATTAATTTTGTATCCTGCAACCTCACCAAACTCATTGTTTAGCTCTAGTAGTTTTCCTGTAGCATCTTTAGGATTCTCTATGTATAGTATCATGTCATCTGCCAACAGTGACAGCTTTACTTCTTTTCCAATTTGGATTCCTTTTGTTTTTCTTCTCTGACTGCTGTGGCTAAAACTTCCAAAACTATGTTGAATAATGGTGGTGAGAGTGGACAACCTTGTCTCGTTCCTGATTTTAGTGGAAATGGTTTCAGTTTTTCACCATTGAGAATGATGTTGGCTGTGGGTTTGTCATATATGGCCTTTATTATGTTGAGGTAAGTTCCCTCTATGCCTACTTTCTGGATGGTTTTTATCATAAATGGGTGTTGAATTTTGTTGAAAGCTTTTTCTGCATCTATTGAGATGATCATATGGTTTTTCTCCTTCAGTTTGTTAATATGGTTTATCACATTGATTGATTTGCATATACTGAAGAATCCTTGCATTCCTGGGATAAACCCCACTTGATCATGGTGTATGATCCTTTTAATGTGCTGTTGGATTCTGTTTGCTAGTATTTTATTGAGCATTTTTGCATCTATGTTCGTCAGTGATATTGGCCTGTAGTTTTCTTTCTTTGTGACATCTGTCTGGTTTTGGTGTCAGGGTGATGGTGGCCTCGTAGAATGAGTTTGGGAGTGCTCCTCCCTCTGCTGTATTTTGGAAGAGTTTGAGAAGGACAGGTGTTAGCTCTTCTCTAAATGTTTGATAGAATTCTCCTGTGAAGCCATCTGGTCCTGGGCTTTTGTTTGTTGGAAGATTTTTAATCACAGTCTCAATTTCAGTGCTTGTGATTGGTCTGTATTATCTGTTTCTTCCTGGTTCAGTCTCAGAAGATTGTGCTTTTCTAAGAATTTGTCCATTTGTTCCAGGTTGTCCATTTTATGGGCATAGAGTTGCTTGTAGTAATCCCTCATGATCCTTTGTATTTCTGCAGTGTCAGTTGTTACTTCTCCTTTTTCATTTCTGATTCTATTGATTTGAGTCTTCTCCCTTTTTTTCTTGATGAGTCTGGCTAATGGTTTACCAATTTTGTTTATCTTCTCAAAGAACCAGCTTTTAGTTTTATTGATCTTTGCTGTCGTTTCCTTCATTTCTTTTTCATTTATTTCTGATCTGATCTTTATGATTTCTTTCCTCCTGCTAACTTGGGGTTTTTTTGTTCTTCTTTCTCTAATTGCTTTAGGTGTAAGGTTAGGTTGTTTATTTGAGATATTTCTTGAGGTAGGATTGTATTGCTATAAACTTCCCTCTTAGAACTGCTTTTGCTGCATCCCATAGGTTTTGGGTCATCGTGTTTTCATTGTCGTTTGTTTCTAAGCAGTTTTTGATTTCTTCAGTGATCTCTTGGTTGTTAGGTAGTGTATTGTTTAGCCTCCACGTGCTTGTATTTTTTACAGATTCTTAAATGCTGCTTTTAATATTTTTTCTTTGTAGTTAATTTTTGATAGTTTGATTAGTATGTGTCTTGGCATGTTTCTCCTTGGATTTATCCTGTATGGGACTCTCTGCACTTCCTGGATTTGATTGACTATTTCCTTCCCCATATTAGGGAAGTTTTCAACTATAATCTTTTCAAATATTTTCTCAGTCCCTTTCTTTTTCTCTTCTTCTTCTGGGACCCCTATAATTCGAATGTTGGTGCATTTAATGTTGTCCCAGAGGTCTCTGAGACTGTCCTCAGTTCTTTTCATTCTTTTTTCTTTATTCTGCTCTGCAGTAGTTATTTCCACTATTTTATCTTCCAGGTCACTTATCTGTTCTTCTGCCTCAGTTATTCTGCTATTGATTCCTTCTAGAGAATTTTTAATTTCACTTATTGTGTTGTTCATCATTGTTTGTTTGCTCTTTAGCTCTTCTAGGTCCTTGTTAAACATTTCTTGTATTTTCTCCATTTTGTTTCCAAGATTTTGGATCATCTTTACTATAATTACTCTGAATTCTTTTTCAGGTAGACTGCCTACTTCCTCTTCATTTGTTTGGTCTGGTGGGTTTTCTCCTTGCTCCTTCATCTACTGTGTGCTTCTCTGTCTTCTCATTTTGCTAAACTTACTGTGTTTGGGGTCTCCGTTTCGCAGGCTGCAGGTTCGTAGTTCCCATTGTCTTTGGTGTCTGCCCCCAGTGGCTAAGCTTGGTTCAGTGGGTTGTGTAGGCTTCCTGGTGGAGGGAACTAGTGCCTATGTTCTGGTGGATGAGGCTGGATCTTGTCTTTCTGGTGGGCAGGACTGCGTCTGGTTGTGTGTTTTGGGGTGTGTGTGACCTTATTATGATTTTAGGCAGCCTCTCTGCTAATGGCTGGGGTTGTGTTCCTGTCTTGCTAGTTGTTTGGCATAGAGCGTCCAGCACTGTAGTTTGCTGGTGTTGAGTGAAGCTGGGTCTTAGCATTGAGATGGAGATCTCTGGGAGAGCTTTCGCCATTTGGTATTATGTGGAGCTGGGAGGTCTCTGGTGGACCAATGTCCTGAATTCGGCTCTCCCATCTCAGAGGCACAGGCCTGACACCCAGCAGGAGCACCAAGACCCTGTCAGCCACACGGCCAGGTATGTGGGGGAGTTTCTTGCCTTTTGGGAAGTCTGAGGTCTTCTGCCAGCGTTCAGTAGGTGTTCTGTAGGATTTGTTCCACGTGTAGATGTATTTCTGATGTATGTGTGGGGAGGGAGGTGATCTCCGCCAGCGTTCGTAGGTGTTCTGTAGGATTTGTTCCACGTGTAGATGTATTTCTGATGTATGTGTGGGGAGGGAGGTGATCTCCACGTCTTACTCCTCCACCATCTTGAAGGTCTCCAGTGTCCCTATTTTAAAGGTCACCATCATCCACCATTTATAAAGAGAAAGATTGTGTTTGCATTTCTGGAAGGATGTTTATCAAATTAACTGATTGGAAATAGGCTCAGTGTTAGGGATCTTTTCTTTTCCACCTTTTCAAACTTCTCTATTAGCTATTTTAGAAACCGAGCATGTATTATTTTTATAACTGAAAAATTTCAATAAAAATAACGAAAAGGCAAGAAAGGGTAATAACCCAGAGTTGTAGAGGGCGTATGGTATCAGGCTGTCCTGTGTGCTGCCAAAGGGAGTATGAATCAGCAGGCTCTTTCTGGGGGGCAGAAAAGGTAACTTGCATACATCATCCATGACCTTAAAACTGTGTACTTCTAAGAATTCTAGGAAATAATCAAATAGATGTGCACAAAGATATCTGAGCAAGGATATTTATAGCAGTATCATTTAATAATCCCAGAGAGCCTCCGAATGCTCTGAAACAGAGGATTATCTTAAACTTTGGTAATCCAGGCACTGTAGTATTCTGTAGCTATTAACATCACGTCAGCATGTTGACACAGGGATGGATTCATAAAAGGGGAGAAAGTGGTATATTTAGTGTGATAACATTTTAATTGTCTTTTATTATGGTGAAATATACAAAGCATAAAATTTACCATTTTAACCACTTGTAAGTGTACAGTTCTGTGGCATTAAGTACATTCACCTTGTTGTGCAACCATCACCACCATCCATCTCCAGAACTTTTTCATCATCCCAAAGTGAAACTATACCCGCTAAACAGGAACTCCCCACTGCCCCCTCCCCGAGACCCTGTAGGACCACCGTTCTGCTTTCTGTCTCTATGAATCTGGCTGCTCTAGGTACTTCATATAAGTGGAATCATACAGTGTGTGTCCTTTTGTGACTGGCTTCTTTCACATAGCGTAATGTCTTCAGGATTCATCCACGTTGTAGCTTATGTCAGAATTTCCTTCCTTTTTGAGACTGATTAATATTCTGTTGCATGGGTAGACCACATTCTATTTACCCATTTGTCCATCAGTATGCACTTGGGTTGTTTCCACCTTTTTTGCCTATTGTGGGTAATGTTGCTATGAACATGGCTATACAAATATCTGTTCAAGTCCCTGCTTTTAATTCTTTGTTAACTTTTTAAAAATCCATCAATATGCATTAAAACTTAACCAGAAGAATATATATCAAAATGTAATAATACTTCCGGGTCACCAGACTCTAGAAGGTTATGTGTATGTTGTTCAGTGTTTTACAACTAATCAGACTTTCAAGCTGAAGTTACTTCTGTAGTTTAAAATAAGAGACTCTTGTGAGGTGACTGTCAGGTGGATGCCCAGGTAACGCCCATGAGGCCCCCCAGGAGTGGCTGCTCAGCCCTGTCCCCACCCCACCCCCATGTTTCCGCAGCGGCCATGCAGCAGATGCTGACCGAGAGCTGTAACAGCCGGCTCATCCAGATGACCTATGAGTCTCAGAGGCAGAACCTGGTCCAGCAGGCCTGTTCCAGGTAAGGTAAGGAAGAGGCTTCCCGAGTGAGGGACTTTGGGGAGCTGGCTCAGGGCCCAGGACCGTAGGGTGAGAGCTGGCACTGGAATCTCCTGCCTCAGGCCACCCCACCCTGGGCCATGATGTCAGGAGCAAGTTACCGCTGGTCTAAGTGACTTTTCTAGTTGGACCCTAAGGAAGCACAACTAGCCGATGACAGAGCTCGGGTTTGACCCAGGCAGTGTGCTCTTGACTATGGTGTACTTATAAATCTCGGGGGGTCGTGGGTGGGGTGCACTGGAATGGGGATGGTGATGGGGTTGCCTTCATGCTGACAGCCATTTTGGGTCTGGCCTTCCAAGTTCATCCCAGCACCGTGGCTTTGTTGAAGGAGCTGCAGTGCCCAGCAGAGCCAGTTGAGAAAAGCTCCTTCGATGCTTAGCAGCCCCAGACAGGGACAGGCCAACAGCCCTGGCTGCCCTTGTGTTTCTCCTCCCACCTGGGTGGCTCCAGTGCAGGTGCCACCTCCTCCCCGCCCCCCCCGGGCACCTGGAGCACGCCAGCCTCCCCGTGTCCCTGCAGACGCAGGGGGTCTCCCTCTTTCCTGCTGGTGTGACCTTGTTTTTAGGAGCGTGGGCACTAGGGCCAGACAGTCGTGGATTCACATCCCACTTCTATAACTAACTGTGAAGTCTTAGGCAAGTTATTTTCCCTCCCTGAGCCCCAATTTTCTTATCAGAAAAAGGGGATAAATCACAGTACCTACTCCTAGAGTTGTTGGAGGATTTAATGGGCATGAATGATCATACTGTCTGCCACATAAGAGTCCAATAAATAACAGCTACTATTATGAAACAGACAAACTTAAAACCAAGATTGTACCAAAGTATGGACATATTAGGTTTGCAGAGTTTGGATTTTTGTGCTAAAGTCACTAGACTTGCTCTAGGGGGATGAGAGAAGGTCCACGGCCAGGGTGAGAGACACTGGGATGGAGGGTGAGATGTTAGTGCCCGGGAAGGACAGCTTTCTCTCAGCCTGAGTGGCTCACCTGGGAGGTCATGAGCTCCCTGTTGGTGGAGGTGGGTGGGCATAGGCCAGGCAGCCACTTCAGGGGAGGCATCGTAGGAAGGATTTCAGTGGAGGGGTGGATGACGGGGCCCAGGGATCATCTCCCCAGCTCTGGAGACACAGAGACTCCGTCACCCTCCATCCAGGGCCATGGGATTCCGACAAAGCTCCATGTCCCCCCCGGCCCCCGCCAAGCCCAGGATGCTCCCAGCAGGCGCTCCATGAGTATTGTTGAATGAATAAATGGTTTATCTCCATCTCCTCCAAGATGCCTGGCACATAGTAGGTGCTCAGGAAATGTTCATGAATTTGCTGTGTTTCTGGCAGCATGGCTGAAATGGATGAGCGGTTCCAGCAGATTCTGTCCTGGCAACAGATGGACCAGAACAAAGCCATTAGCCAGATCCTGCAGGAGGTGAGCCCTGGGGGCAGGGGCTCAGGAGGGGGGCAGGAGGGACGCAGGGAGCCCGGAGCAGAGCGGCAGAACTCCACGTGGAGGCGCTGTCCTGGACTCCTGGACAGTGTGCAAGAACCAGGATGCTTAGAGAGCTGAGAAACGTACTGACCGTGAGGATGAGGGGGCAGGGAGAGGCCTCTCTGGGTGGTCGTTTCCGCTCACTGAAGTCTGGAGAAGCGCCCTCCCCAGGCAGCCGCTCCCCATGCTGCGTGGGGCTCCATCATGAGGACATAACGGGCAGAAGGCGGTGGTACCCACCCCGTGGAGGGAGACCCCAGACTCCTCCCTTCCAATCCCGCCGCACCTCCATCTGCTCTCCCGCCAGCTTAGCGGGCGCATAGCAGGTACTACTGAGTGGACGGGACCAGGAAGGACCCCTGTGATTTCCTCCCTCCTGTGTCCAAATTGTTCAGTCCCAGCTTTCCCCACAGGCCCTACTGGAGTCTCATTCCCCGACCCTCACATCACCTCCCTCCTTTCTTCCTCTGTGATGTTGTCTTGCCACTCCCTGACTCATCGTTTCCTCTCTCCTTTCTCCCCAACTCCTATCTCTCTCGTCTTCCAAAACGCTTTGACTTAGTATTTGTGAGATTGTCTGAGGAAAGTGCTCTGTTTCTTAGAGGGCATGTCAGGCCTCGTGGTTAAGGTGAGACTTGCATGCTAGTGCCAGCTGGTTCACTTCTCCGAACCTCACTTTCCTCATCTGTGAAATGGGGCAGTGAAGGTACTCTCGTCATCGCCTCTTCCACGTGCAGCGCGGGAAGAGCCCTGAGCACGGTGTCCAGCACGTAGTAAGCGCTTAATAAGTACTATTTTAAACAATTAAACAAGTAACCTGAAAAGTTGTCGTCTCTCTTAGAAAAGGCATACGTTAAGGTGTGTTTGATGCAGGTTTGTTTTCCCTGCGGGCCCCCGATTGGCTGTGCTCTGTTGCAGAGCGCCCTGCAGAAGGCGGCCTTCGAGGCCCTCCAGGTGAAGAAGGACCTGATGCATCGGCAGGTCCGGAAGCAGGTGAGCGCAGGCTGCGGCCCCCGCTGGGCCTGCCCTGTGGGCTTTCAGACGCATGAGGGGGGCGCTCCAGGCCAGCCCAACAAGAGGCCTCCCCGGCACCTCCCTCCCCTCACTGAGCCTCATGGAACCTACTCAGGGTGTCAGGAGGTGCCTGGGCAGCACTGTGCATGCCAGCAGGTGAGACCTGTGCCTGCTGCTTCTCATGATGCCCAGGGCTGAGGGACAGGAGGCCTTGACTGCTTGGCAGCCACAGGCAGGACTCCTCAGCCGGCTCAGACCCCAGTGTCCCCGTCGGCCCAGAGGGAGGAGCTGGGACAGGCTGACCCCCACCTGACAGGCAGGGCCTGGTGTCGGCTGAGGAGTGACCTGGGCCTGGAGGGGAGGGGCTGTGCTCTTGTCTGGGCTCTGCTCCTGACCTGCGGGCAGCCTTGGGCGAACGCCACGCTGGGCCTCTTGGCCACCCCCTTCCAGCAGGGCTGTGTCTGGCTCGCTGGGCTCCCTGAGCACGTGGCCTGGGTGGCGGCAGACAGAGCGAGCTTTCAGGCTACGGGACGCATGTCACCTCGTATTCAGCACACTTTGAAATTCACATTTTGCATGGTGGTTTTTTTCTTTTTATTTTTTTACCAAAACCAACTTACCTTTTTATTTCCCCCTTTAATTTCAATCCCACATTGCCAGACATGAATCTCATTCCTCTGACCAGGGGTTGGTGGGGTCATAGGAACATAGGGGCAAAGGTCATAGGCACAGGGTAGAGAAGTCACTGGCCATGGGGTCTGACCCCGAGGGCTAAAAGCCCCCAGTCACACCCTGAAGGTATGTGGTGACTCCCAGACATTGTCACCATGGGTGGTTTTGACCCACCAGGCCAGCTCTTCCCCTTCAGACAAGCAGGGACATCCCAAGGAAAGGGCACACTCACCCGCTGTGTGTCCTTGGGCAAGTTACTTAACCTCTCTGAGCCTCGGTTTCCTTGTCTGTAAAATGGAGGCAATAATACCTCCTAATAGGTATTGATGAAATGATGCAAATAAATTGCACAGCACAGTCCTAGCATGTGGAGTCTCAATAAATATCAGCTACTACTATTACTGTTAGTCAGTCCCTTCCATTGCCCTCTGCACTCCTCTGTGACAGCTGTTTAGAGGAAGCAAGAGAATTGGACTGGTAAGAGGCTCATTGAGAATTCCGTGTCTGTTCTTCACTCTGGTCCTCACCTTGAAGGAAAGCCCCTTCATTCCACATACCTTGATCAGCACCCATTCTGGGCTGGCCCTGTGCCCGGCTTTTGATCAGCAGTGCTGTCCAGGGCAAGAGGGTCCACGCCGCAGAGCATTCAGGGCCATGAAATAACGAATTATTTTTAAACCCCCGCTGATGAGGTTCCCAAGGTACACAGGTCCCCTTCATTGCAGAGTGCCCCCAGAAAGTATTCTTAGATCCACTTGGCCATCCAAGAGCAGCGGCGCAGGATTAAACCGTGGTTAATGTGAATTAAAAAACCCCTGTCTCGTCTTCTGTTTAGATTAAGTTAATAGAAACTGAGTTATTGCAGCTGACACAGCTGGAGTTAAAGAGGAAATCCCTGGACACAGAGGCACTACAGGTATGTAGGGCTCCCTAGCCTGCCCCGCCCCC